TGTGTCTTTTCAGTTTGAAAATTTATTTATTCAGATATTTAGCTAATTTACATCACTATCCTCCTCTTTAGCATTTTTCTGGGTTTATTTATTTCAACAAACAAATCAATGTTTCAACTAGTCTCTGCTCCATCTCCCTAATATGTTAATGTTCTAACAATGTACCTTTGAAGAATAATTTTCTCTCTTTATAAAATCAGTTTCTTTTTCAATGAATTTCCTCTTCATTTTAGAATTTTCAGATTTAATTAAAGATTTCTGTTATTAAGAACTGCTTTGTACATATAATGTATAGAAGAAACTGCTAATTTCATTTCTTTAAAAATATAAGTACCCAGAATAAATACAGTACAAAGTCTCTAATCTGGATGTCCATTATCCAAACCTCAAAGCCACAAACTTACGCATGCGCGTAAAGCCAGTAAAACGTTTACCCATGCGAGCTTCCGATAGTGAAGAAAGTAACAGAGAACGTTATTGAAAACAAAAGTTTCGATTGACAAGTTAGTCGGTATTCTCGACACAGCAATTACAGGACTTCAACAGTGGAACTTTGTAACTGAACAAGAAATTATGTCTGTTTATAGAATTAAAGAGAAAGTATTAGCACAAAAAACGAAGCAACTTAAACAACTTACGTTGATAGAAATGTTTACTAAAGTAAACAAATAAATATTAAGCTTTTTTTTTTTTTTTTTTTTTTAAATTTTCATACCCTTTAGATCATAATTGTTCTTTATTTCATAAATTATGGTTTCATATTTTCAATTGTATTATTTCTGCATGTCATCTTGCCAGATTTAAATTGATCTATAATCCAGAATCGCCGAAGTCCAGACGAGTCCGGATTACGGACTTTGTACTGTATCAAATGATACAAGGTCAAGACCGGCACCAGAGCCAGTGTGGCAGAATTTTGTAAAGCATAAAAGAACAAAATTTAGGGCATGCATTGAGGTACATATGGTGCATTGTGACATATATGATAAATCTTTTAATAAATTAGTGGTTTTTAATTTCTTTGCTTCAGTCCTTGTGTTTGATGGAAAGATAAACATGTTCGAAAGGAGAAATTCAAATAACTTTGTTTTCACTGTTCTTAAAAAATTCTCCAAAACATAAGAAATTCATCACGAATTTCCTAAAACACATCCATTACGCGTTAATACCATGAAGACACTTTTCATTTCATCACATTGTTTTGGAAATCATAAGTCTATAAATCTTACCTTTAGGCTTTCTTGGGAGGGGAGGGGGGAAACCAGAAAAGAAGCGTAAAATGTATTTTGAAGACAAAACTGACAAACATTTAAATATTCTGAAACAATTACATTGCATCTTGCATTAATGCAGTTTTTAGTTAGTTTCTTCTTTTCGCATGTAAGAGAATGGTGCTTTTTCATTTGTGGGAAGATAAATTTTTCATCCCCCCTTTAAGAAGTCTAAATGAAAGCAATACAGTCAAAAGTCGTTAATTTGTACACCCATAATCCGAACCTCAAAGCTACAAACTTTCTGCACATGCACGTAAGACCTTTACCGCTGCGAATTTGCGTGTGCGCAAAATACGTTTACGAATGCGCGTTTAATGTATAATGGACGGGTTAAGCTAAGCTAAAATTATCTAATTATCTATTTCAGGTAATGTTGCAGATTGCGTTCTTCGAATTGGATCCTTAAACAACTTACATTGAAAGAAATGTTAATAAAGTAAACAAATAAATATTAAGCTTTTTTTTTTTTTTTTTTTGTAAATTTTGATACCCTTTAGATTATAATTGTTCTTTATTTCATAAATTACGGTTTCATATTTTTAATTTTATAATTTCTGCATGCCATCTTATCGGATTTAAACTGATGATCTATAATCCGGAATCGCCGAAGTCCCGACGAGTCCGGATTAACGACTTTTGATTGCATTTAGCTGAAGCTGACTATACAGCTTTATTACAAGATCTGAATAACAGCGATGCCAGTGGCTTTAGCAGTAAACAAAATTATAGAATGGGAGGAAGTATTGAGAACACAAACTGCACACCTCTGTACAACAAAAATATGCGAAGACTGGATATTAGAGATGCAGTCACTACTCATTATCCATCTCGTAGAGAATCTTTCAAAAGTTAAAAGTAATTAAATAAATTAGATAGGATCATGTCAAGAAGAGAATGTGAATTTTGGACATTAGCTAGACCAATGCAATTTTGCCTTTCAGAAAGGCCTAACAGGAAGTAGAAAATGAGAAGATAAATTGTTTGCTCTCAAACTATGCAAATGAAACAAGATTTGGGAAGCACACAGAAAACCAATTTTTAAATTTCATAGTAAATGTATATATGTATGCGTGGATGTGGCAGTGTAGGTTTTTTGCTTTATATTAAATATTTTAACTGTAGTTTAATAAATGCTGAAAATTTGTTTTAAAATTATTCTTTTATTGTTCATATATATATGATTACAGCTACAAAAGTTATGTTTTAATTTTGTAATTCACCAAGCATAGCATAAAGGTAAATGCATTTTCTGTAATACTTGAAAAAAATTGAGTTGATTGGAATAAAAATGTAATTTTGCTAAATTTTTGGGCAAATTTATTCTCAATGAGCGAGCACCCACCATGTTGTGGAGACATCATGGAAACAGCGCTTCATCTCATAGCAACAGGGTACAAGATTGTGGTGCTGTACGGAGAGGATTAAGGACCAAAAGTGATTTCCAAAAACCTAATTTGTTCTTTATTCATGACTTGTAATATCAATATTTTAATTCTTTACAGTAATAAATGTTATCATGTATTCTTACTTAATTCTACAACCTTTTATGAGTAGCTAGTAAAATTTTGTAGCATTCCACATATTAGCTGTACTTGCATGAATCAAAACTGAAGTATTTTCTATTCCATATAATTTTGGGCACAGTTTTCTTTTACAATACAAGTTCTAAATATATATGCTTCATTTATTTTGTTGATTAATTATGGCAAATAGAGATTGTACCTAAGTGGAAAGCTGCCTTCATAGGATTTTCTATGGGAAAACTTGTTTTACTTCCAGAGCAAATAAAGAAAATCACAAACTCCATCAACATATTTTTTATGCCATTTCTTCATCAATTTGTAATTCAACACTGGAACAGTGTAATCAATCTGAGAATTTTTTTTTTCCCTTGATGTCCATCAATGAACAGCTTAGCTTTCTTCAACTGACTCATTTGATGGTTAATCACCCAAAGAATTAGGATAAGCATAAAGTACACTAAACTACACAGACACTACATATATTTACTTTCCATCACATATATCTTAAAAAGAGATGCAATTTTAAAGCAGCAAACAAAGTCTAGAATTTAGGTAAAATTTTAATATAGAATTTAGTTAAAATCTAGAATATCACTAAGCCACTAACACAGAAATATCTAAATGTGGTATATCAATTTCTATCTGGTTGTAATGAAAGTTTTCCACCAGAAAATGTTCTTAATAAAGTTTAAAAAAAAAAAAAAAACATGAAAGTACCTTTAGCTGTTCTTACTTTTTCTTTTTAACCTTTTATAAAGTACCTTTAGCGTGAGTAGTAACCACTACCCAAACCTATGATTTTCTTCCAACGTTTTGGTAGTTTTTCAAAACCTTCGACCCAGAAACTTGGTGTCAGAGAATCCAAAAACAAATCAACCTCATTTCGGACGCCCTGTGCAGAATGGAACATAGCACCAGCAAGTGTAAGAAAAGCTAGAAGTCTGAAGAAGTGATGTTGGGGATATATAGTTGATGTGGCAAAAGATTCCATTCGAGTCTGTGCAGAGTCCAGCTGGTGAATGCAAGCGCATAAGGTCAAGCATTATCTTAATGGAACATTAGCTTTTCGCGCCAGAAATCAGTTTGACGTTTCTCCTTGATAGCAGCATGAACACCTCACTGTACACTTTACTGTCGAGGTTTTTTTTTTACCTTTTCCCAGATACTCTTTATGGATAATACCACTGCAATCCCACCATATATAAAGAATGATCTTTTTGCTAGTCAAATTGCGATTTGTGACGCTGCCAACGGGTGCAGACCAACTCTTATTTCGACCTGTGCTGTTGAAATACTTTCACTTTTTATCACAAGTGACGATCTGGTCCAGAATTTTGCCCTTTGATATTCGAGCAGATTAGTGCTGGCCCGAACATGCGTGTTTTTAATCTGCTTGAGTCAACTCATGCAATACTCGGCGGATGAACTTCTACATCAAGTTTATACGAAGCACAACGGGACTAATGAACATAGCACTAATGTCTAACTCCTTAGCAAGCTCTCGAGTGGTTGCATACTAATCTTCTTCGACAGTAGTCCTTGTTTTTGAACCTTTTGTTATACGATACAACATACGATACAAACGATGTTATATGTTAACAAACGATGTTATATGTTATACGATACAAACCTTCAGTGTTATACGATACAACATTAGTACCTAAAGCTATACACATAATTTGGTGACATTTTGCAACAGAACTGGAATTAAATGGTTCTAATACGGTAGCATGATAGTTCCATTTCAGACACCTCGTACTCAAGGATATTTTTTCACAAATTTTACAACATAGTGTCATTAGAGGGAAAGCAATTCTTTCCCTCTAATGCCAAAAAGTGTTTGACAAAATATGATTAAACACGCAGTGTAAACTGTTTGCGCATACAATATTTGCGATGGTGGGAAACTTTCATTAAAACCTGATAAACAACATTTCTGGCCAAGAAATGCATGGGAAGAATACATATCACTTTAGATTTTTTTTAGTATTTCAAGATTAGGTTTATCCCTTCTTTCTTGCCAACTGCTGAATAGAGTATAATCAATCTGGGAAAAAAAAATTTTTTAGGAAATTTCTAATACTAAGAAACGACATTAATCTGTTTTATCTTCAGAGTCTTCCAGCAGTGCTTTGTAAAAGACGGTGGTGCAAATGACCGCACGAATAGAACTGATCATCGACAAGACAACATTCATCACATGTTAAAATGGAAGTATCTTTGTGCACAATCCTTCTTGATGAATGATGCAGTGATAAGACATGAAGTTTGGAAAACACTCGTCTTTCTTGCACAAAGTGACAAAGCCGTTGGTTCTTCCTGTCATGGCAGTTGCTTTGTCTATAATAATTACCAATAGGTTTTTAAGCGGCAAACCAATTTCTGCTGCAAACATCTTAAAAACATTGTAAATGTCCTCTCCTCGCGTTCTCAATGGCAGAATTTTTAATAATTCTTCTTTAACAGAAAAGTCATTAAATACCATTCTTATCATAACAGCTAACCACGACGTATCGGAAATATCCGTGGACTCATTAAATTGGAGAGAAAAACCATCCACATGTTGAGATTGCATGCCATCAGGAATTGCTTCTACTCTCCTTAAAACAGTGCTTTCTGATAATTGAAGGTCTTGAATCACACTCATGATTTCACACTTGTTAGAGAATCTATCAGAGGCTTTTGACACCTGCAAGAAATGCTTCTTTTAGCAACTTACCATCTTGAAATGGTTTTTCTCTTCTTTGCCAGTAAGGGAGCAATTTTAAATGAAGCTGTTGCTGCATTTTTGGACTTTGAAACTGGTCTAACAAATACTGATTGCTGCACTGAAAGCTTCAGTTTCAGCTCACATACTTTCTTCTTCCTAATTTCCGAAAGTTCCGTGCTATTTAGTTCGTTGCAAATGTTCCATGATTCGTCTGAAAGTGACATTTCACATTAGGTTTCTTGACGAATGCTACAGAAGCATCATATAGCAAACACACACACTTCCCTTTCACATCAACAAAGCAATACATTTCTTCCCAGCTTGAATTGTAATTGTGTATCTTCTACCTTTTGGTGGGCCCACTCATAGTGCTGCAGTGGTGGTGGTGGTGGGGGAAAACAAGCATCGCTAAGCCCCAATGCAGAATGAGGATGCTGAACAAGACTGGGCGTACCACTAACAGAGCTCAAAGAAGACTGGTGAAGAACATGGGTGAAAAGTTGCCCTTTGTGACGAGTCTGGATTAAAGACTTTTGACTGTATCTACTGTGGAAAAGATTCATATGGAGAAGGGCTGTCTGAAGATGGAAAACTAAGAAACCGACATAGGCAGTTCTTCGCCTCGTGGAACCAATCGAAAAAACTAATAGAAACATTACAGAGGACAATTGGTTTTCATCCATTGAACTTGTAAAAATCTTGAAAGAAAAAGGAGGACTTGCATTTGTGGGAAACTCTGAAAAGAGATAGAAAAGGAAATCCCTAAGGAATTTCAAGCCAATAAGTCAGGAAAAATGGGTAGTTCTCTGTATGGTTTTACGAAAAACATGATGCTTATTTCATATGTCCCAAAAGAAAGAAAAGCTGCTATTTTAATATCATCGATGCACCATTCTTGTGAAAAATGATGCATCTTCAGGGAAACCTGAAATCATAGCTATGTGTGGTGTGGATGAATTTGACAAGAAAGTTTCAATCTATTCAACTGCTCATCAAACCCGACATTGGCCTATGGCAATACTCTTCAGAATCTTGTATATCTGTACAATAAATGCATTCATATTATTTCAATCTTAACCAGTACCTCCGAAAATGAAACGAAAAGATTTCATGATTTCATTAGCAAATCAGTTGGTGCAGTCTCATGTAAAACGGAGGATAACCTCATCATTTTTAGCTAAAGAACTCAAACTTACAATAAGAAGAGTTTTCGGAATAAATGATGATGAAGGAAACATTGCAATCGAATATGATAAAGTAGATAAAAGAAGGACGTGCCGAGCAAAAAAAAAAAAAAAAAAAAAAAAAAAACAGCTTACAAATGTATAGCATACAAAGAACCAGTGTGTCTACAATGCAGTAGAAAAGTGTATAAAAATGCAGCTCGAATCATAATTTTTAAAATAAAAATTAATTTTCTGTATTCTTATTAAAGCATTCTTATCGCAAATTTTTAATGTAAACTAAAAAAGTTTAATTTTAAAATTCCCCTCTTCCATTAAGGTACATAAGCAAAGAAAATTAAATGAAGGAATTATTATGCATAGTATATGTTTTATTTTAATGAACTAATTTAGGTATAAAAAAAATTGCTTTATATCTTCATAAAAAAGTTAAATATATGAAATAACATAACATTGATTCAAATAAGAAAAATAAAACATTATCTTATTTTATTTTTACAGCAGAAGCGGTCTGAGAGACCGCTCACAGTACTTATGCGACAATTTAGGTCACAGCAGTTAAAGGTTAATATTATTGCATCATACAGTTGAGTTAAAATTTTACTCTGACCTGCAGTTCCCTCCACTTTTGTCAGCCCTTTGTGGTGTGGAGAGCCTTGTAATATCGTGCCCCCAATCTTAAAACTTTATCATCCTATTAACACGTGCTCGTACGTCAATACAAAAATATAATACGGAAATTACTCCTTTCAGTGAAATTTTTTTGATCTTCTCAGTAGCTGCATTCAAGGTCATGCATGTGTCATTGACAGGCATTTCCGGAATTTATCTTTTCCTTTTTTTTTTTTCAAAAAATGGGTAGCCAGGCCTCCCAGGTGTATAGTCATTTTAACTCTTTCACATTGAAGTTGCCCCAAATGCCCGAGCACTCAGACGTCGGCAGGTCGCCCGAACGCCTAAATAATTTCTTACCCTATCACGTTACTGCATTGCTCATTGCTTTTAGAAGTTGTTAAATGACATGTCAATCATTCTTTTAAAGTGACTAAAAGTAATTCTATTATTTTAATGGACCTTATTTTTCTTTTGTTTACTGTCAATGTTTAGCTATTAATGCCCGAAGTTGCAATCCCGTCCCAAGTGGGAACTTCACATAAGGTGAAAGCGTCCAAAAAAGAAGCTGCTTTACTTAAGCAGGTCATTTTTAGCGCTGTAGTAGTATCATTTTGTCATGGGGGAAGGGAAAGCATTCCACGAGGAATTCATATACATGGGTGTTTTTGATGTTTGAGGAAAAGAAATTTGGTACCGTCTGGATGTGAAAGAGATTAAACTAGACAGAGGCGATAAGAAGGATCAAGTTAAGACACGCTATTACCCTCGATGTTTCCGAAGCCCAAGACAAGGCCAGCCAGGTTTCTGACCCCATCCTCGTTGAACCCCTTCTATGTGCAAACCCAAAAAAGACTGTTGCAGAAAAAAAAAAAAAATTTACCGAAGCTCGGCGAGCACTATGCAGGGTTGCCTGATCATACAGGTGGAACCACTTGTAAATAATGTTTCCTTATTTATTGAAAATATGTATTGTATTTAATAATAAACTAATTTGCAACCAATACCATTACTGAAAGTTTTAGCAATGAAGCAGATGAGTCGTGTTTATACCAAGTAGGGATGAAAAATAAAATTCAAATGAGAAGACTAAATGAAATTTTCATGATTTATTTCCTGTGTAATAATATTTTTAAAAAAAAGAGGGAAGAAGAGCAGATCCCTATACAATATATAGCTGTTTGCTTTAATCAAATAATTCAAATCCACATATCTATTGATGAACATCATAAATATTGGTTAACAAAACTATGTCTATTTAATTTTACTTGAAACAGCCAAAATTTATTTCCTGTAAATACATTCCACTTTATTTTTTTAATATATTTACTGAAAATATGTGTAGTATAACAAAGGACTAGTTGTTGTGAGTACATTGCAACTGTAATTGAAAAAGTAATTACATAATCTAATTACAAAGACATTTTGCCCAACTCTTCATGAAAGAGACTAAAGAAAGCATCCTTAACCTTTCCTGCATCTCCAGTTCCTAAATAATACATTAATACTTCCTAAAAAGTAATCTGCTTTTGTCACATCCCTCGGAATTCAGCTTCACTTTTCAATTGGGAAATTCTATTGAATAAAAAACAAGATACATAATTCATATTCAAATACAGAGATTTTGTCTAGCATTTATTGTTAAAATATGTGCTAACCATGTGAACTTAATATTTTAGGTTGGTTAACTGAGTAAGGCAAAATGCAGACAAAGGTAATTTGTTTCAGAGAAAGGAGGCTTGCATTTATGATTTTATGAGAAACTCACATTTACATTGCACATGAGGAAAAAATCACAAAAATGCTCATAAATCAATTCATTTATTATGATTCAAACCCAAATCAATAGTCAGCTATCTTACAGACTTAAGCATTAGTGGAGCCTGCAGTGTTTTAGGAAAGCAACGAAATGAGTGTATTTATATTAAGAGAACCTGTGGTGGGACTTCACTAATTTAATATTTATGATGCTGATAAAATTAGGTTTTTGTATTCTTTTCTGAAATATTCTGACTCGCAAACATAAAACTAGCATTATAGGCTTCAAACTATACAAGAAGTGAACATCACATTTATTTTATATAAATTCTACGATAGTTGGCATGGTTTTAAAAAGGTTTTGTCTTTTTTAATCAGTGTAAAAAAAAAAAGTCTCGCTTATATCTGATATTTCATGATCTTGTTCAAGAGGTGCTTATTAGAATGATCTGCTAAAAATACCTTCAGAAATAAAGAAGGGCTTTGTGAGCTGACAAGAGATCTGCTCTTTGGAATCATAATGCTAACAAACTGATTAAAAATAGCTTTTCCTGCCTTCTAATGCAACTTTGTACGTTTATTTTGTGTACAATGTAATTCTTGCATTTAAGTAGTTTATACATTAAGTAGTGCATTTAAGTAATTTCATTAGGCTTATATTAGTAATTCTGTTAGACAATAGAAGATAGAGGAGGCATATAAATAATATTTTGCTGTAAGGTATGTAAAAAGAAACATCTCTACTTGGTTATAATAATGGTGCAAATGGTTTATATAAATTAACAACTGAATATATCAGTTAAATATTTTATAAATTTTAAAGATATAATTTATATTTTTATATTAGGTAATTATAGTTATATGGTTTAAAATGTCTAATTTTAGAAGATATGTGGAACAAAATGTGCGAGATCAGCTCCAAAATGATTAACATGACTCAGATTATTAAATGTTTTTCAAGTTAGAGGTTCATGTTTTTCAAGTTCATAAATGAGGTGCAGTGGCACCACAGGTCCGGAGTTGGATTCCAGGCTGGGCAAGGTCGACTCAGCCTTTTCCCCTTGGGTCAATAAAATGTATTCTAAGTTCGCTTGGGGACTAAACACTGGGGGGTCCTGCAACAAGCTGACCCACTTGTTCAGGGCATATACTTACGCACCCCAGGGTTCATGGTCAAGAAAGCAGATTTCGGGCACTGCAGGCCTTGGTCCATTAGGGGTGTTTACACCACTGAGTTTAGTTTAGATTTCAGAATTTTTTTTTGTGAGAAGTGATGAAAGCAAGAAATAGTTGGCTTTTCTTTTTACACTATCCTGCAAGATAATAAATGAATGGTATGGCATCATAAATTACATCAAATAATTTTCAAATCCTAATGTATAT